GTGCAGCAGGTCCTTCAGCGCTTCGGCTTCACGTACTCCTCGCCTCAGGCCACTCCTCTGTCTACTCGCCACTCGCTCTCAGCTCTGCCTTCGGATGAGTCCATAGAGTCGAGTGGCCCATACCCAGAGCTTGTTGGCTGCCTCATGTACCTGATGACCTGCACACGACCTGACCTTGCATACCCTCTTAGCATTCTCGCACGCTATGTTGCTCCTGGGAGACACCGACCAGAGCACATGGCTGCAGCGAAGAGGGTGTTGCGCTACTTGTGCAGTACGTCGGGCATGGGGCTAGTGCTTGGAGGGCGGAGTCCAGTGGTCCTCACTGGGCACGCGGACGCTTCTTGGGCTGACGACCAGGCTACGCAGCGGTCGTCGCAGGGTTACACCTTTAGTCTTGGTTCCGGCTCTGTTTCATGGCGGGCTACTCGCTCGTCTTCTGTTCTCGGCTCCACTTGTGAGGCTGAGATCTACGCCGAGGCCATGGCTACTCAGGAGCTTCGCTGGCTCACATACCTGCTGACTGACCTTGGAGAGCCGCCTCGTTCTCCTCCAGTGCTGTACGTAGACAACAAGGCCATGCTGGCCTTGTGTCGAGAGCAGCGACTGGAGCACAGAACGAAGCACATTGCTCTCCGCTACTTTCTTGCTCGTGAGCTGCAGCAGCGTGGTCAGTTGCGACTTGCGTACGTGGCCTCTGAGGCCAACACTGCTGATGTTTTCACCAAGGCACTTCCGCCTTGTGATCATCAGCGTTTCTGCACTCAGGTGGGACTTGTCCGAGTCTTGCCTCACTTGCTCACCTCTTGATCTTACTTGTACTCTTGCATATATATATACCTGCTCTTGCTTGTTTAGACTTATATATATATGTCTCATCCTGCATGTGAACTGGCCTTGTGGCCTTGACCTTGTGCTCAGACTGTGTGGTGACGTTGTGATCCACCCTGAGCTTGCTTTGCTTTGCTTTGCTTGACTGGTCTTGTGACCCCTTGTTCTCCCCCACTTTGCCTATGGGGGTGTGTCAGAACATTATAGCTTATGCTTTTGTGTAGGCTATAGTGGGGTATCCCATAGGGGGTACGACCCAATTAGGGTTAGTACTTGTACCCACTTCATTCATAGTTCATTCATTCACGTTCACTTTTTCACAGTGTTGGCAAGCCGCGCGGATGCAGCGTTGGCAAGCCGCGCGGGTGCAGAGTTGGCAGATCGCCAGTCTATAGCATTTGCAAGTCGCACACAAGCTGCGTTGGCGGGCCGCGGACGTGCTGTGTTGGCAGGTCGAACTCCGTCGTGCTGGCGGTCGACTTGCCTGTGCAACACACCTTGCATGTGATGTAGCCATTATTTGCCGTTGCTAGTCTATTCAGTATTCTCAACTTTTCTTAGTGAAACTCTTGATGTTTTGCCTTGTGGGCACACAAGTCGTAGAGAACACAGACACAGCTATGATCAGTCCTATAACTAGTGCCTGCCCTAGTAGTCTAGCCCCTACCGTTGTACAGCTTATCTCCTCATGGTGCGGTGAGCGTGGACGGCCCCGCAAGGATACCTTCAGATAGGAACCGACTTATCACTTACCTAAGTCGTTTGTAGGCCGTCGGCCCGTGCGAACTATGGTGCCTACCCTGGCAAAGGCCGGCAGGGTAGAGAATACTTTAGAAGCACGTCTGGCTGATGCGACGAGACGCCATGGAGAAGGCGAAATCGGGACGGTGCTCCCCTTGGAGGTGTTCTCCTTGGGATTTGAGCGAAGTGGGCAGCGGAACACCCTCCCCAACCTGGAGCGGACGGTGCGTCGGCCTCTCCTCGGCCAGTGCGTAACGACGGCGGCGTTGACAAGGTGGTTGACAGTGGTGATCGAGTCAATGGCACGAGGAAGATAGGAGTTATCAATGGGAATCAGGTGCGAGTGCATCGGTCGATGGCGGCCACAAGCAGCTCTCCCCGGCAAAGCAATGGGAGGCCCACGTCGTCGACACATGTGACGGCGGACGGGATCGCTCCGACGTATGGCTACTCCAAGTTCTTGCCAGACAAGATCGCCGCGACCACGCCGCTGCAAGGTCGACGGACCTCATCACGTGGAAAGAGGCTATTGAGCCTCAGCTGGAGATTGCCGGCCTGAAGGGTTTCGCTGACGGTACCGTGCCGATTCCACACGAGGACGAGGTCGAGCTGCGCGGGGAGTTTCGTGCCGCTCACCTGCTCAACTTTATGGTAATTTCGAGGTGCTGTTCGCCGATGGTGCAGATTGCGCTGAAGCCGTGTCGACTTCGACTGGACGCAGGCCACCAGGTGTGGCAGTTCATCATGTCAACCTACCAGGCAACGGACGACCTATACATCGGCCAGCTGGAGGAGAAGTTGACTCGCCTACGAATGGGCGAGCAGGAGTCAGCGACGAACTACTTTAATCGTGCTCGACGACTCCTGGCTGAGATGCGGATGGTGGGCGTCAAATACGCTACGTCGTCGTACATCAGGCACGTCGTCAAGGGACTGCCAAGCAGCTACACCCTCATAAAGAGGCTGATGGTGGTACCCGGCACGAGTGAGTCGCTCGACGAGGACTCCCTCACCAGCTACATCATCCGAGATGAGGCAATGCAGGAGGCAGATCGGCCCATGGAGCTCCTTCCGTAGGCAAGCTATGCCGCCCCGACGAAGCAGAGTCGTCAATAGGGGCAGCGCGGGAAGCCTGGCAGAGGTGGTAGCTGAAGTGGAGCCCGGCGAAGGACGACGACTGTACGAAATCAGCTCGTGAAAGTGGTCGTGGCAACGTTGGTCGACGGCGCGAATGCTGGGTCCGCGGAAGCGCCGACCACCTCTCCTATGACTGCCCCAACCGAAAGGAGTCTGACGGTGATGACCACAAAGGAGGCCGATGTCAGCCAACGGTTGTCAAAGTCGGGACGAGAAGTCACGCAAGGAGAAGCAGACGTCGAAGAAGACGTCATCGACGAAGGAGGTCGACTCCTCCAGCGCCAAGGGTCAAGGTGACGGAGAGGCTCCGTGCTCAATGGTTGGCGTGGTTAAGCAGACTGTTTCGCTGGTGCCAGAGGCCGGCGAAGACTTCAAAGCGGTCGTAGTGCAGGCGAATCTGATGGTGGTTCTGCTCGATAGTGGTTGCTCGCACCACCTCATGGTGACGGAGGAGGCCTTCGTCGACATGGCGCCGAGTGGCAATGTGAAACATGTGCGTGGCTTTAACGGGGCTCTGCAGACCGTTGAGGGACGATGCACCGTCGCTCTGCAAGGGGAGGCCGGGAAGCAGGTCCTCGTAACATACTCTACGTCCCGGGCGTGCAGGCGAACATGCTGTCAGCCGACCATCTGAAGGAGAACAGCGTGCTGCTGCATGACGACGACGAGGAGATGATGCTCGTCAACGCGACCGGGGAGGTGCTCGGTCGAGCACGCTATACCGGCCGCGTTCTCTGCACCAACCTTCAACCCCACTCGACGAAGCTGTCGTCGAAGTCGACCGAGGTGGTGGCTCTGCGGACGATTGCATCGGCAACAAAATCGATATGATGTATTGCCCTACTGGTGACATGGCAGCCGACTTCGTCACGCAAGCGATGGCCCAATTTGAGCGGAGTGGTAAAGCGAGTCAAGTTCTGCTACGGACAAGAATGAAGGGGGGTATTACGATAAGGAATGCGTATTAAGCATTTCTGTACGTAACAGGGTCAATTCACAATCGTGTACGAGGATGAACGGACAGGATGACTCGAAAAGTCTCGAACAGTTAGAGGATCTGGACCGTCAGCGGCAGAAGCATCAGGAAGGTACATCGGCAATGAAAAAGGCAGGAATTTTTTTAAACAGGTTCCCTGCCGCACGGTTGAGTTTTACTGTAACAGGGGGGCGTACCCTTTAGAGTATACGGATAGCTAAGTCACTTCGTATTCCGTGTATTTCATAGTTTAACCCGTGCGTGCTTTTGCTGTAATTAGTTCAGTCATTATACATTCGCTACGACGCGAGTCAGTTACTTCCCCTGCATAAGTAATCTCCTATGAATCCTGAGCCTGCCTCCGGATAATTCACGCATGGGATCGTAACATTGGAGGCGAGGTCCGGTAGTTGGGCTGAGAGCAGTCTTAGGAAAGTCGGGGTTGTATGCTGTTTGGAATAAACACAGGATTTTTTTCTACAATTTCCTCCTGGAGCCGACACGTTGGTAATTGAAGGATATAATAAGGAGGACACGTTTTCAGGCGGCTTGTCGGTGGTGGTAGTTGCTGGTGATGGTAGCATGTGTTGTGAATGATTCTCCACCGACCACGAGTTTTAAGAAATTGGCGTGTGCATTTCGTGCGTGGATGTGGCCACGTGGACGCAAATGACAGCTAGAAAATGGTTCGAACCGCACGTTGAAACTTGTGGAACGTGGCTGAAGTACACAAGTGGGCAGCAAGCAAGTCGGTGACCTCGAACAAATATGTACTGTACAGGTGCCATGGATCACGCGCCAAGTCGTTTGGCCTTTTCTGCGAAGCCTCCGGAGGAATCCGTTGGGCTTGCTGCCTCATCAACCTCCGTGGTCGCTGTGCAGTGCGGTGCACAAGCTTTTAGCGGAAGCGCGTCGCGGCCAGGCTCGGCTCTATGCACCAAAAGAGCCGTGGTTTGGGATTTGGTTTGGAAAACACCTCCGATAGAACATCGGTTTGAAGGTGTTGGGAACGGCGGTAGGTTAAAAATAATCGTTGCTCGGTGAAATTTTCGACTCACGAATTCGGTGAAATCGCGACTCGATTTGGGGTCAACCAGAGCCAGCCATCCTTCACCTTCGACTGCACTCACATCCCAACCAGCACCAAGGAAGGAGACCCCAACCAAAGAGAGTATTTATGCCACCATTTTCCCAGCACTTCACATCCAACTCGCCAACTCTCGCCGCTCTCACCTGCTCACACACACACCACCACCACCGCCACCACCACCACCATCTTCGCCTCTCGCGTTAATCTCGCCTCGCTTCCATCATCATGGCCCGACTTTCCTTCCTCGCAACCTCGCTCGCAGTTCTGTTCCTCGCCATGGCTAGCAGCGCATTCGGCGCGCGACACTACGGCGCGGCGACCGTTAAGCCCACCGCCGTAGCCGCCTGCACCGCGTCGGCTCTTGGGGCTCCATACGCCAAATCCGTCAAGCTCACAACTGACGGGTACGTGACTGTTTCTGAATAGTGTCGTTTTCTGTCTAAAAATCATCTCGCTCTCACGGCGCTTCGGGTTTGAGTCAGCTGCATTCACTTTTTGGCACGATTACACATTATCTCACCCTTCTCTGACGAAATCCTATTCTCCCGTCACCCTTCCACCGCTTATCACAGCCTATTTCTCCTGCACTGGAACATCACCGCGAAGAAGGACGGGATTATCGCTGCGATCGAGGCGAAGTCCGGCAGCGGCGCCGAGACGGGCTGGTTTTCCGTTGGCTGGACGAAGAAATCCGGGCTCATGGCTCCCGCCGACGCCGTGGTCGGGAATCTCGCGGGAGCCGCGCCGAACAACGTGCTGGCTTACGCGATGACGGGCAAGACTGTGGCCAAGGTCAAGAAGACAACCGCAGTGAAGCTGTCGGCGAAATCCGTGGTTACCGCTTCTGACGGTGGCAAGATCGTCAAGTGAGTTTTGCCTGTTCCCGCTGTGCGAAACCGTGCGCCACGAATCGTACGCCATCGTGCCCGTTGTCGCGTCTCCAAGGTTGTGTTCAGTTCCGTTATGTGGCGCTTTGACAAGCACTTAACCCACGCAAGTCATTCCTCATTTCAGGTTCACTCGTATGGGCAAGGGCGGTCTGGGTCCTGTCAACTACGTGGGCAACAACAACATGATCTGGGCCTACTCCGACGCCCAGGCTTTCACCTCCCACGCCAACCGGTAATTTACCCTTCCGCGCCAAATATCTGTGCTTCGACTAAGTTTTCTTCACATTCGTGACTTCTTATTGACGTTTGCATGAATTTGCATCTTTTTTATTTCTCCAGGGGTAGCATCGTAGTCAACCTCGCATGCAAGGTGTAATGGCGTGCCGTGCCGCACTTCCGAGGAGGGTTGTATCAAGTAGCAGAGTGACGGCGTTACTAGGATGTAGGGCATCGAGAATCAGCACCAAGAGTGTGACACAGTTGTCGCTGACTCCATTAGGGTTAGCACAGGTGTGGCGCTTGTTGCTGATTGTTGATGCAAGCGTTTTGAGCAATGTATGATATTGACAGCTTCGCAAACAATACCTGCTGAAAACAAAATCCGCGTACAATTACAAGGCGCACGTAACTATCCTTTGGAGTGTTCTTCATGCGATCGTGTTCGTCTTTGACTGAACGTTCAGCACAAAACTCCTCACACACTGTATCGCATCAAGCATACTCTTAGGCTTCTAAAGACCTGTAGGATCGCTGAGCGCGTGTACTGAAACCGCGGGCAATCTGCGCGCACGATCCGCACAACGTAAACGACAATCTTAATTAATCACGCGTGCATTGGAACACACTAACGCCTAATAATGAATTAACAACAGGGCTGGACGAAGCAGTAGATTTCGTGATTTCGGAAACTAAATACTGCCCGTTATACACGTCAGAAACTAAATACTGCCCGTTATACACGTCATATCTGGTCCATTTGCCTTGTCCACGCGTCGTTCACAGCACGGCGCCACTCTCATTGCTCGAGGTAAGGCACGATGGATGAGATCGGATGTTGAGTCCGAGACATCCTCACCTGAGCTAAAGCTCTGCGGGTCTAGGATACTAAGAAATTCGCGTAGGAGGTTAGGACTGAGCTAATTCGAGAGAGAACCCTTCTACGGGTTTAGGGCAGGTTGAGACGGGGAAAGGAAAGGGGTGGGGTGGGGGATGAACGTGGGGGGCGGGGGGGCGGGGGAGCCGAGGAAACGAAGGTGGTAGCGGAGGGGAGGTGGGGCTTGGACGAGGGGAGAGGTTTGCTGGGAAAGAGGGGGTTGAATGGGGATGGGGAGAGGATATATTAGCGGGAGGGGAAGAAAATGTGGCGGAAGTCAGGCCCTATAGAAAATAAACCCATTTTGTAATTTAATAAAATAAGCATATTTTGTTCTAATATTATCATGTATGCAATGGGTCAACCTAAATTTGAGCAGAGACGTGAGCTAACTCCATTTGTAGTCGTGTTTTTTTTCATCATGAACATCATACTTATACTTGACATTTAGCATTTGGTATTCCCAGGGTCGCTACCAGGGCTGACGATATCAGGGTAATTACCCTGATTTCAGGGTGATTACAGGCTTCTGACTTGGTGGTCCCTGCAAACACAGGTTTTGTATTTTGTGAACTCTGATCCAATCAGAGAAGCTACTTAACGGACTCTGAATTCTTGTAACTAGGCTCAGAGTAGTGTACTTGCGGACTCTGTCTATGCAGGGTATGCGTTCCGAGGACCCTGAATGCAAGGGTATTGGGACGAAGTTTCCTAGAAGCTTCGTTTCGATAACCCCCTTGTGCGTAGTCATTTCTTCGAGTGGCCCCATGTGAAGTACCCCTTCACGCGCCCGTGAGTGACGTAATACCGACAAAGGGAAACACTGACGTGTTGTACATCACAGCTGGCAACAGCGCCAACGCAGCCAAATCAATGATACGGTGCTGCCACACGCACCGCACAGTGCACAGCATGTGTCTGCCATTGGCCAGAATGGCCTGTTGACAGCATGCGGTGGCAGCCAAGGAGTCCGTGAATGAATTCGGCCTTGAATGCAACGACGAAGTCATCGTCGAATGTTGCCATCAAGTCCGTGGAATCGCGGCGCGGTGGTTTCGTGCTCCCGCCATCTCCAACCTCCCCTTCCCTCCCCATACCAACAGCCAACGTTCCTTTGTTCACTGGTGTGTTGGTTCCATTACGTGCATTCATTGTCTCATTTTCCTCTCGTTCAGTTTAGCCACCAATGGAGGCCATGGCGGCCGACGAAGCTGCTCCGGACACTGGCCCCGACGAGCCGCCTGTAACAGCGAAACCAACAGCGCCGTCCCAGCCGGAGAAAGCTTCGGATGCTCCCCGCTCTGGGCTAGATTTTCTTAGACCTACGGCTGCTCCCGTCACACCTGAACCGCCTAGTTCTACCGTTCACGACTCTGCCCCTGTAGTTACCCCTACTCCTACTGCTTCTCCTATTCCCGTCCCGTTCACTCTTCCCCCGGCTGTTGCTGGCTGCAGCAAAGATCCTCCACCGCCCTCGCCCACTCTTACTCCAAGCACGGTGCGGGTGTCCCTTGGCCCGCCGTCAGCTACTTCCGCTCCCAAGCGTGCGCGATCTGTTAAGTGGGCGCAGAGTACTCTGCTGGTGGGAGGCCGCCGTATTCCACCGCCGGAAAAGCCCAATGAGCCTGCACAGAAAGAAGCTGAGCTGCCGGAAGAAGGTGACATCCCGGTGCGCGCGGATACCGGCTCGCCGGCACTCACCAAGACGCAACTGCGAGAGCAGATGTACCTGGAGGCGAGTATTAATTACGAGACGAAGTGGGCGGGACTCTTTTCTTGGCTTGTGTTTGGGAAAACCAAGGACGATTTTCCGTACGTGAAGTGCAGCATCTGCATGTCATATGGTAAGGGGAACACGGGGTACGCCATGCAGGGAGACGACGGAGGCCGTGACTTGCAGACGCAGTCGTTTCGGGCGCACGAGCATACGGACGCACACATGGCGGCGGTGGACCGCCAGATGAAGATTGCGGCGGGAATCCGCGAGGGGCAGCAGGTGATTTCGGACTTCATCAACTCCGACGTCGAGGGCCGCCGCGCGATACGGCTGATGCGGTCGACTCAGTTCCTGTGCCAGTGCGACGCGACGATTAGCATGTTTCCTAAGCTGATGCGGCATCTTGCGGAGCAGGACACGCCAGACATTCCCCGGCAGTCGTACGGCGTTTATCTCACGCGGTATGTGATGGTTCAAATTGTTTGCAAATTTAAACATGCACGTCAAACAACTTGCTTGACTATCGTGTACTGATAATTTCTCTGTCCTTTGTTGCAGCTATGGCTTCCAGCAGATGGTCCACAGCATGAGCACTTACCTTACCCGGGTGCAGATGGACCACGTCCTGGCATCACCGTTCCTGGGCATCCAGTGCGACGAGAGCACCGACCGCACGCGAGGGAAACACATGATTGTGTACCTTACATTTCTGAAGAACCGCCAAGGTGCATGCGAGTTTTTCACTTTGCTGACGGTCGAGCGGTGTGATTTAGGGTCCTTGTTTGAGGTGCTTCTGAACCATCTTCGCTCCGCTGCCGTCGATGTGTCGAAGATCGTCGGCATCAGCACGGACAGGGCGTCGGTCATGACCGGGAGAGAGAACGGATTGGTGGCGCGTCTTCGTGAACACGCCCCTCATCTGTTCTCATGCCACTGCATTGCCCATCGGTATGTGAGTTGGTCTGTATTGTAGCATTTTATCTACGCTGATTGGTTTACTAACAAACCATAATACTTGTTCCCTGCTTTACACAGTGAGGCGTTGGCTGTGAAGGACGCCGCTGACTCAAACCCGGATCTCGACATGGTCGACAAGGTGGTGCGCACTGTGGCGACTCTGCTCGGAAACTCCAGCGTGTGGAGTCAGCGGTTCAAGTACCTGCAGCGTGTGATTTACAAGACCAACCTGGAAGTCCAAGGCATCCACACGGTGCGGTGGCTGTCTCGAGGAGATGCGGTGGCCAGGCTGTGCAAGGTCCTCGGCGCTTGCATCGTGCTGCTCTGGGAGCACAATCACAAGGCGTACGAGATTGTCACCTGCTACAAGTTTCAGTTTTGCTTGTTTTTCTTGTCCGACATCTTGGCGAACATGAACGACCTCAACCGCTGTTTCCAGAGACGAGAGGTGAGGTCGCATGTTTGTATGATGTTGCTACGTGAGGTTCGTAACTGCACTGTTGCTCATCCTTCTCCCTCTTGTCTACCCCTGCTCTGACACAGCTGGACGTGACAGAGATTGCGAAGACGATCGAGTCCACAACGAGTTACCTGATTGAGCGCTACTTGACGCCAGAGAAAGCTTTCGGGGGTGAAGGGAAGAGCTGGCTGGTGAACTTCCTCAAGGTCCACAAGGAGGGTGGAGGCAAGCAGGTCCGGGTGCGCGGCGTGGACGGTGCTGGACGTCCGATCAACCACCTGTACAACATGCATGAGCGGAAGCTGAAGGGGCACAAACACGGAAGCACCTACGCAGACTGCGTGAAGCTGTGCCGCAAATTCGCCCGTGACTGCGTGGACAACCTCAGCAACCGATTGGATGACCTTGGGAAGCTGGGGCCGACGAAGCTGTTCCGGGCGGGGAAATGGCCGAAGATCAAGGCCCAGCGAGAGAAGAAGTGTAAGGAGTGGCTGAACGGATGCAGCAGGCTGTTCCGCAACAAGCTGCCGGGATTCGACCTCAAAGCAGTAGAGAGGGAGCTTCCAACCTTCTGCGCGATCATGGAGGCACACCATGAGATGGAGAGCTTCACCCAGGGCCTGTCCAACTTCCTTGGGAGCGCAGACTCAAAGAGGTAGCCTATACTTTGCTAACATGGGTTTTACAATTTTGTGGCGCATCGCTAACTGTTTCCGTTGTGTTGTGTGTATGAATGTGCCTGGCAGGAGATGGCCCAACCTCATCCTACTGTGGCAGGCGCTGGCTGTGCTCCCCCTCTCCACCGTGGAGTGCAAGAGGGGGTTCTCCAGGCAGAACGTCATCAAGTCCTGGGTGCGAGGAGCGCTGTGCAACGCGCGTCTAGGGGAGCTGATGCAGATATCGCTCCTCAAGTATGAGATCGACTGGCCGGAGGCACTGGAGGTGTGGAGGTCCCTGCGGAGGAGGCGTCCTGCGAAGAGCTTGAAGCTGGCTGTGGCAGAGAGGGAGA